TTAAGCTGCTCAATAGGCATATTTGGTGTAGATGATGGCTTACAGGGGCCGCTCTCTTAAAAGTAGTATTTATTTCGAACTTATTACGATTAAGCCTATGCGAATTAAACACTAGATACCCTCCAAGTTCTACTCAAGTTCCATTAGCAGATATTTTTTACAGCAAATTTGTTCGCCACTATGAGTTCGTGATAGTGTCTATCCTTTTCAGTGCAAATTGCAGATCATTAAGCTCGTCTCGAAAGAGAAATAAACACATAAAAAACAAGTAAAACAAAAACATTAAGTTCGGCCGGGCCAAACTTTTAATACCCTCCATCTTAGGGTAAAGGAAACATTAGAAAAAATGTGGCAAAAACCATTAAAATGACGAATATCGGGAGGTTCCGTTGTGTGGGGGGCTATACCAAATCGTGGACCTACGCATGCAAGGTTTCGCCAACGGAGCTAGAACCCATTATGACCTACAAATACCAATTTTCAGACAAATACGTGAAAAAAATGTGGCAAAAATCATCAAATTACCGAATATCGGGAGGTACCGTTATATGGGGGCTATACCAAAACGTGGACCTATAATTACAATGACTCGCCACACGAACTGGGACCCATTATGACTCACAAATACCAATTTTTAGAAAAATCAGTGAAAAAATATGGCAAAAACCATCAAAATACCGAATATCGGGAGGTATCGTTATATGGGGGCTATACCAAATCATGGACCCATACATACGATGTTTCGCCACCGAAGCTGGAACCCATTATGACCAACAAATACCAATTTTTAGACAAATTCGTTAAAAAAAAATATGGGAAAAAATAATCAAAATATCGAATATCGGGAGGTACCATTATATGGGGGCTATACCAAAACGTGGACCTATACATGCAATGTTTTGCCACACGTACAGGGACCCGTTATGACCTACAAATACCAATTTTCAGACAAATCCATGAAAAAAATGTGGCATAAATCATCAAAATACCGAATATCGGGAGGTACCGTTATATGGGGACTATATCAGAACGTGGACCGATATATCTCATTTTCAATACTAACCATCCTAGACACAATGCAAATAGCTCTGCTAAATTTTGGCGCTCTACGTCAAATAATGTGGGCTGTATCGTGATTTCAACAGACAGACAGACGGACAGACAGACAGACGGACAGACAGACAGACGGACATCGTTAAATCGACTTAGAATTTTATGCTGATTATGAATATATATACTTTATGGGGTCTAAGACGAATATTTAAGGATGTTACAAACGGAATGACAAAGTTAATATACCCTCCTTTCCAAGGTGGAGGGTATAAAAATCTATATTTCATATATGGTGGACAATAAACGTAACAAGTAAAAAATCTGTAAGTTCGGCCGGCCCGATCTTGGAATACCCTTTACCATTTGGAACGAATTTGGAAAATTTCAAATCTTAAAAATACCGAATGCAGCCGTTATATTGGGGCCTATACGACAACTTGAACCAGCATAGGCAACATTTGTCATAAGCCATTACAATATTCATATAAGAAACTTGAAAAAAAAATCGGAGAATAATGTAGCTAAAATCATCCAAATACCGAATATAGGGAGGTATAGTTATATAGGGGCTATACGAAGACGTGGACCTGCACAGACAATTTTCTGTCATAGGCAGTAGTTTCCCATACGAACCTTAAATACCAAACTTGAAACAATTCCGGTGAATAATGTAGCTAAAATCATCAAAATACCGAATATCGGGAGGTACCGTTATATGGGAAATATACGAAGACATCAACCTACATATACAATTTTCTGTCATAGACTAGAGTATCTACTACGAACTTTAAATACCAAAATGTGAAACAATTCCGGTGAATAATGTCGCTTAAATCAGCAAAATACCGAGAAAAGGGAAGCCCTATTATATGGGGGCTATACCAAACCGTGGACCTACCTGACCCATTTTCAATACCAAAAGTTCTGCAGACGAAATACAAAGTTAAGTCAAATTTTATCAACCTACTTCATTTCGTTCGGAAGCTAGAGTGATTTCTACAGACGGACAGACTGATAGACTGACGGAAATCGCTAAATCGACATAGAATTGTATGCTGATCAAGAATATATATACTTTGGGGATCTAAAATGTATATTTCGAGGTGTTACCATACCTAACATACCCTCCATACTATGGTGGAGGGTATAAAATGGATGAAGTAAATATCGAAGATATATAAAAATTTGATCCGATCTCGATAAAATTTGGCAGAGATATTTTCGAGCTGTATCTAATGTCCGGTATTTAATATCCTTGTTGTGGAGTGCATATTACGCATGTGAGGGACTTCAACACCAAATCGTATTAAACATATATATGGGAGCTATAGCTACATCTGAACCGATTTCCACCAAATTTGATGTACTTGCTTCTAAAATAAATTCGGTCGGATGTACCACAATTCAGGTCATTTGGACTGATATTCGCCATTTGGTGCGCAATTAGCCCGAAATAGATTGAAGATATATATGGGAGCTTTATCTTAATTTGAAGCGATTCTCACCAATTTCTATAGGGTTCGTCCTTGTGCCAAATATATATTGTTGAGATAATTTCATCACAGTCGGATAATAAATGCGACCTGCATTTTGTTTACATGAATACATGGACAGTGATTATATGAAGATCCACAAACGTAACAATGGGTCTATTTTGCTTTCTTCTCGATGTTACTAACAGATGCACAAAGACATAACATTGGGTAGGGTAAAACATTTTAATAAAATTTGAAAATGTGGTAAAACATGTTAAAACCTTGAGGCATTTCTTCCTCAAGTAAACTTTTGCACTTTCTTTAACTCCTCATGAGCTCATGACTTGCAAAATTTTACTTTTTTACCCTACACCACAAGGTGATCAGGGTATTATGTCTTTGTGCATTTTTTTTTTTTAACAGGCAAAATGAAACGAGATAGACCCATAGTTCCTTTTAATGATCTGCATAGAATCACATTCTGAGTCGATTTATGCATGTCCGTCCGTCTGTCCATGTATTTTGGTAAACAAAGTACAGTTCGCATTTATTGCCCTATCCAGATGAAATTTTGCACAAAGTATTTGTTTGGCCCAACCCTATTGAAACTCGGACGAACCCTATTGAAACTCGAGATAATCGGTCAAAATTTAGGTATAGCTCCCGTATATATCTTCGTCCGATTTGCCTTTTATTGTGCAACAAACGTGTAATATCAGTCCGAATAGTATGGAATTTTGCACATACAAAATAAAAATAAGTATGCCAAATTTGACCGAAATCGGTCCAGATATAGCTATAGCTCCCATATATATTGTTCATCCGATTTGTTATTTTTGTCCTCCGAAGCCGTAATATGTACTCTGTATCAACAATATTTGGGGAAATATATCAAATACAGATCAGAAATACATTTGCTAAATTTTATCGAGATCGGTTCAGATTTGGATATAGCTCCCATATATAACTTCGTCCGATTTACCTTTGATTGTGCACCAAACGTCTAATATTTGCCCAAATGGGATGAAATTTGGCACTTACGACCGAATTAAGTCTAGAAGCTAGTATGTCAAATTTGGTGATCCGAAAGTTAGATATTTAAACAACAAAATCGGATAAAACATATATATGGGAGCTATAGCTATATCTGAAGCTATTTGCACCAAATTTTAAGTATTAACTTCTTCAACGAATTAGCTTGGAAGTGCAACGTTTCACTCGCTTTGGGCTGAAAGTAGCCATTTGGTGCACAAGACAACTAAAATCGGACGAAGATATATAGGGGAGCTATATCCAAATCTGAACCGATCCTGATAATATTTGAATAATGAATCGCTTGGCTGTATCTGATATCTGGTGCTAAATATCAGTCTTGTGGAGTGCATATGACGAATGTAAGGAACGAACACCAAAATCGGATGAAACATAAATATTTGGGAGCTATAGCTATATCTGAACCGATTTTCACCAAATTTGAAGCACATGATTGTAGACTGAATTCGGTCGGATGTAGCAAAATTCACACCATTTGGAATGATATTAGCCATTTGGTGCACAAGAAACCTAAAATCGGATGAAGATATATATGGGAGCTATATCTAAATTTTGACCGATTTTCACCAATTTCAATAAGGTTCGCCCTTGAGTTAAACAAATGTTATTTAGAAAATTTCATCTCAATCGAATAATAAATGCGACCTGCATTTTGTTTACAAAAAAAAACATAGACAGACTATGCTGATCACCAAAAGGAACTATGGGTCTATCTCGTTTCCTTCTCCATGTTACAAACAAATGCACAAAGACATAATACCCTTACCACTATGTGGATTAGGGTATAACCAGTAAAGAAAGTCGTAAGTCCAGCACTTTTCATATTTAGTAGAGCTTTACATAATAAATTTTTGAGATTTAAATTATACCAACTATGACAATAGTTGTAATTTAAAGTCAAAAGAAACCTCCTACTCTGAATCGATTCCCACTAAATTCGCCGAGACATCTGTGCCTTTACAATTCAGGCTTGTATTACCCATTTGGTGCACAATTAACTTGAAATCGGATAAAGATATATTTGGGAGCTATATCCAAATAAGTACCGATCTCGATAAAATTTGGCTAAGGTATGTTTGAGTTATATTTGACATTCTTCCCCTAATATAATGGTTGCTGAGTGTATTACGGCTGTCGAAGACAAAAATACATGGAGAGACGGACGGACATATAAATCGACTCAGAATGTGATTCTATGCAGATCATCAAAGGGAACTATCCCTTTTGGCTGTTACAAACAAATGCACAAAGCCATAATATCCTGACCACCTTGTGGTGTAAGGTATAATGAACGTAGTCGTGTTAATTTTAATATTGTATGATATAATTTGTTATTGTGTAAAAGTGCAAAATGAATTTTGAATATTTAATGCAAATTAATAAGTTGCTAATGAATTTCTCTCATTCATTTCATTCCAGTGGTTAATCAAAAATATACCGTTCAAGTGCACGATGAATATGTGATGGCTGGCAATACGGCAGTATTGAAATGTCAGGTAATTGAAGAATGCACGAATAAAATTCCAAGAATTTTATGTTTACACTTATCTAAAAATATTTTAATAATATCGGCATTTTGGGTATTTGAATGGATTTGCTTGTAAAATATTTTGATTTTTATACCCTACACCACATAGTGGTAAGGGTATTATGTCTTTGTGCATTTGTTTGTAACATGGAGAAGGAAACGAGATGGACACATTGTTACTTTTGAGAACTTTCATAGAATCACTTTTTGAGTCGATTTATGCATGTCAGTCCGTCTGTCCGTCCGTCCGTCCGTCTGTCCATGTATTCTTGTGAACAAAATGCATGTCGCATTTATTATCCGATTGAGATGAAATTTTGCAACCAACATTTGTTTGGCCCAAGGACGAACCCTATTGAAATTGGAGATAATCGGATCAAATTTAGATATAGCTCCCATATATATCTTCATCCGATTTCGGGTTAAATGTGCACCAAATGTCAACTATCAGTCCAAATTACCTGAATTTTGGCACACCCAACCGAGTTCGGCCTAGAAGCAAGTATATCCCATATATATCTTTCATCCGATTTGATCTTTAAGTCCCTCACATTCCTACTATGCACTCCACAACCGTGATATTTGGTACCAGGTATTAGATGGAGCACAGAAATAGCTGTTTTAAATTTTATCGAAATCGGTTCAGATTTGGATATAGCTTCCATATATATCTTCATCCGATTTCGGGTTAATTGCCCACCAAATGGCCCGAATTTTGGCACATGTGACCGATATTAGCCTTAAAGTAAATACAACAAATTTGGAGAAAATCGGTTCAGAAACAGCTATAGCTCACATATATATGTTTTATCCGATTTGGTGTTTAAGCCTCTCACATTCGTAATATGCACTCCACAAGAATGATATTTGGTACCAGATAAAAGATACAGCCCAGAAATAGATGTTTGTAATTTTATCGAAATCGGTTCAGATTTGGATATAGCTCCCATATATATCTTCATCCGATTTTGGGTTAATAGTGCACCAAATGGCCGATATAAGTCCAAATGGACTGAATTTTAGTACATCGGACCAAATTCAGCCTAGAAGCAAGTATGTCAAATTTAGTGAAAATCGTTTCATCCGATTTAGTTGTTTAATCCCTTACATTCGTAATATTCATTCCACAACCGTGATATTTGTTACCAGGTATTAGATGGAGCACAGGAATAGCTGTTTTAAATTTTACCGAAATCGGTTCAGATTTGGATATAGCTCCCATATATATCTTCATCCGATTTTGGGTGATTGATCACCAAATGGCCGTAATAGCATCAATTTTGGCAAATCCGACCGAAACCAGCTTAGAAGCAAGTACACCAATTTTAGTAAAAATCGGTTCAGATATAGCTATAGCTCCCATATATATCTTCATCTGATTTCGTGTTAATTGTGCATCAAATGGCCAATATCAGCCCAAATGGCATGCATTTTCGTACATAAGACCGAATTCAGTCTAGAAGCTAATACGTCAAATTTGGAGAAACCCAGTTCAGAGATAGCTATTGTTCGTAAAATGCACGATAGAATTAGATAGATTTTGATTTTGTACCAAATATCTCATAGAGCTCTGAAATGCCCTGTATAAACCTTTTTACGAGAGCTCTACTAAATATGCATAGTGGTGTAGGGTATCATATAGTCGGCCCCGCCCGACTTTTGAGCTTTCCTTACTGGTTTGTTTTACTTTTGCATATTAAAAGCAAGTCCAACGAAATTCCGTTGGGTATCAAAGAGTAATGATTGAAAAGGGGTTACAGTAATGTTTGACCAAAGGTCAAGGGGATATGAATAAAACCCTAAAAGATGTCTGCATACAAATCGTATTATATACATTCATATCGGCAAATATAGGAATCTATGGAATAGAAATAAAAAACTTTTTAGATTTTTATACCCTACTCCACATAGTGGTAAGGGTATTATGTCTTTGTGCATTTGTTTGTAACATGGAGAAGGAAACGAGATAGACCCATAGTTACTTTTGAGAACCTTCATAGAATCACTTTCTGAGTCAATTTATGCATGTCAGTCCGTCTGTCCGTCCGTCCGTCCGTCTGTCCATGTATTCTTGTGAACAAAATGCAGGTCGCATTTATTATCCGATTGAGATGAAATTTTCCAAACAATATTTTTTTGGCCCAAGGACGAACCCTATTGAAATTGGTGAGAATCGGATCAAATTTAGATATAGCTCCTATATATATCTTCATCCGATTTCGGGTTAAATGTGCACCAAATATCCACTATCAGTCCAAATTACCTGAATTTTGGCACACCCAACCGAGTTCGGCCTAGAAGCAAGTATATCAAATTTGGAGAAAATCGGTTCAGATATAGCTATAGCTCCTATATATATCTTTCATCCGATTTGATCTTTAAGTCCCTCACATTCCTACTATGCACTCCACAACCATGATATTTGGTACCAGGTATTAGATGGAGCACAGAAATAGCTGTTTTAAATGTTATCGAAATCGGTTCAGATTTGGATATAGCTCCCATATATATCTTCATCCGATTTCGGGTTAATTGACCACCAAATGGCCAATATCAGCCCAAATGGCCAATATCAGCCCAAATGGCCCGAATTTTGGCACATGTGACCGAGATTAGCCTTAAAGCAAATACAACAAGTTTGGAGAAAATCGGGTCAGAAACAGCTATAGCTCCCATATATATATTCATCCGATTTCGGGTTAAATGTGCACAAAATGTCCACTATCAGTTCAAATTACCTGAATTTTGGCACACCCAACCGAGTTCGGCCTAGAAGCAAATATATCAAATTTGGAGAAAATCGGTTCAGATATAGCTATAGCTCCCATATATATCTTTCATCCGATTTGGTGTTTAAGCCTCTCACATTCGTAATATGCACTCCACAAGAATGATATTTGGTACCAGACATAAGATACAGCCCAGGAATAGCTGTTTTAAATTTTATCGAAATCGGTTCAGATTTGGATATAGCTCCCATATATATCTTCATCCGATTTCGGGTTAATTGTGCACCAAATGGCCGATATAAGTCCAAATGGACTGAATTTTAGTACATCGGACCAAATTCAGCCTAGAAGCAAGTATATCAAATTTAGTGAAAATCGGTTCAGATATAGATATAGCAACCATATATAAGTTTCATCCGATTTAGTGTTTTAGTCCCATACATTCGTAATATTCACTCCACAACCGTGATATTTGGTACCAGGTATTAGATGGAGCACAGGAATAGCTGTTTTAAATTTTATCGAAATCGGTTCAGATTTGGATATAGCTCTCATATATATCTTCATCCGATTTCGGGTTAAATGTGCACTAAATGGTCAATATCAACCCAAATCACCAGTCTAGAAGCTAATACGTAAAATTTGGAGAAACCCGGTTCAGAGATAGCTATAGTTCGTAAAATGCACGATAGAATTAGATAGATTTTGATTTCGTACCAAATATCTCATAGAGCTCTGAAATGCCCTGTATAAACCTTTTTACGAGAGCTCTACTAAATATGCATAGTGGTGTAGGGTATCATATAGTCGGCCCCGCCCGACTTTTGAGCTTTCCTTACTGGTTTTTTTTTTTTTTTTTTTTGTTACACAATATCTTGTGTAAAGATGGTAGGGTTCCCTTTTTCTGGTGCCTCCCTCATAAGTGGATCAACCTTTTTGAATAATCAAAACACTCATCAAACGGGAAAAAAAACTTCCGACTCTCTTCAAATTTCACACACGTTGATGTTCTCTCAGGCATACAAATCGTGACCGTATAGAAATAAAAAGATAAATAAAACCAAGGGGGATTAGTATTAATATAATATAAATGACCGTTTATTGAGATGTTTGGAAATTGGTCAACCCGAGTTGACAGATTACCTTTGTTACGGTTAGCTCCGTAGCTAGCAAGAGAGTTACTATCAATGCCAAGTCGCAATGCATCGAGGTGGCTGGAAGCACCGATGCTTCCAGGAAATCTCTAACAGCAACACGGGCTGAGAGAGTACCCAGAGAGAGTTGTAGAGAAATGACTTGGAAAAGCTGCCTACGGTCCGAGCTGTGCGAACGTAGGCCCCAAGGAGAGTTGTAGGGAAAATCTTCAGACTGGGAAGGCTTTCTCCCTACGGTCCGAGCCAAGCGAACGTAGGCTCCAAAGGGAAGTTGCAGGCAACCTTTTAGCCCAAGAATGCATCTCTCTACGGTCCGTACTAAGCGAACGTAGGCTCTCTGGATCGTTTGGCAATTTGCAATTCTAACTTAAACATTGCCGCCCACCTTGAAACATTGGACAATGTTACAATAATTATAAATATAAATTAGTTTGCAATATTAATTATTCTCGTATTCGTTTGTACCAAATTGCGTGGATTCAATATAATTCGTATTGGCCATTTAATTTATGGTAGCAAGCAATGTAATTCGACGGATCCCGAGATCCCTTTGACCATAAATTAAATGGAATCAACAAGTTAAGAACTTAATCAAAGTAACTTAAGAGTAAGAAGACGTGAGATCAGTTTCTAGTGAGCGTATTTCATATTTTGTTTATTAATTCTTTTGTAAATTGATAACGAGTGCATGAGTTTAAAATAATCCATCCGAACCGTATATTGTGGCATAAATAAGAAAACCAAGAGAAAGTAGCATAATTTAATTGGCGAGAACGACGCGCTTTGTTATTGGCCCTTGTAATGTCTTTACGTCAATTAGTCGAACCATTCCATTATAGCCGGGGTGAACCTTAACAACTCGATCTAGCCTCCATGCCAAATTTTGTGAGTTTTCTTCCCGTTTTCTATTACAAAACGATTGAGGTACAGCTGAACCTCTGCGAAATCTTTTAATCGGAGGAGACAATATTGAATCGCCTAAAAGATTTTCCTTTTTTTTCGAAATGCAGCCTAGAACTAAAAACTTGCATATGTTTTGCTAACAATGGACCCGTTAGGATCCAACCGAATACCGTATTTTGAGC